GTTGATATCATTTTTCAAATTATAAATATTTTAATATAATTTGTTATCATCTCACCACTTATTTAATTTTATTTATATTTATTATTTCTTTTCACGTTAGGATGTTATTACACCCATCCGACGTTTCTCTCGTATGTAACCATTTTCCTTCTCTACTTATTTTCTTTATCTCGTTCTTTCGATTTTTTTTTTTACTTTTTAATTTTACCTTTTTTTATCTATTTTAAAACTCGTTTCTCATTATTTTATTATTATTTTTTTATTTCTGTCTTCTCAATATATTCTTTTAAGTCCTCCTAATTTTTTAAATTCTTTTTATTTATTTATAATTTTATAGATAAAAGAATTGTTATGAATAATCATAATTTTTAATTTTTGTGTATTTACTTTTTCTATTAAGCAACGTAACAAAACTTGACACCTAAATTTATGTTGCGGAATAAAATATAATTTATTCTTTCTAATTTATGATGCAACTAGAACCACATAAATCTCTCACAGTTTTTAGTTTTCTTCTTTGTTTCTTCCCAGTTTCGTTTTTGACTTTTAAGTTTCGGTTCCGAGAATTTAGGGTTCTTTTATTGGCTGGATAGAACATACAAGTACAATTTTTCTTCTTATTAAAGACATATTATTTTATTTTTTATAAAAAGACATGATAATCCTAATAAAATAAATAAAATACTATTTAGAAAAGATAAATTTTTTTCTTTTCCTATTAGTTTATTAGTCCATATTGAAAATGAAAGTCCTATAACGTACTTAAAAAGAAAAAATCTTAATCACTTTACATTATGTTTAGTTTAATATTTATTATTATAATATTATTAAAATTAATTTTTATATTTAATATATTATTATAATTTTTCATTAAAAAAATATTTTGTGATTAATTTAAACAAATATATATAAATTCTCAAATTCTAAATTATGAATATATATATATATATATATGTATATATATATATATATATATATATATATATATATATATATATATATATATATATATATATATATATATATACCGTACGCTACAACTAAAGACAGATTGTGACAAAAACAGTTTCTAAAATTTCAATTTCTATGGACAGATTCCTTTGACTTATTTAAGTCTCGACAAAGTGATGAGTCAAATAATAAATCAAGTGTGTCATTTCAAAAGAATAACACGTAGACTCTCAGATTTGATGTTCTTAATCAACTGAATTGCAAAACTTTTTTTTTTTTTTACTTTTAATATTATCTTAGCAGGAATGAAAAAAGAGAGAGAATTCGTTAGTCATTTTGGCATGTGTAATAAAAATTATTATTTGAAATACTTTTATTTTAGTTTTTATTTAAGTTTTACATCACTAAAATAATTTTATGTTAATTTTTATTTTGTAAATATACTTTTTATAGGACCAAATGGCTAGTTTTTTTAAAATCAATTATAGTTTAATTTTTTCCCAAAAAATTATATTTAAAGTTTAAAAAGATAAGAATGACAATACATTTATATTTTTCTAGAGTTCTTATACATGCTATGAAGCAACCATAAACTGTCATGTATAATGATATTAATTACTTAAAGGTAATATATTTCACTATTTATAAATATATACCTAATAAAATAATGTATATTTTATATACTCGTTAATGAAATATTATTCATTATAAGAATATTTATTAATATTTTATCATAATAAAACCATTGCAGTCGATTTATTATAAGAAAAAATATATATAGTATATATGAAGTCGTAGATTTTAATTTTAGTGTAATTATTATATAACCATCTTTTTATAATAGAAGAAAGTTTCATTATAAAGTAGGGTGATGTAAGTTTTTATTGTAGAATAACTTACCATATATAAATTTTATATACTCCTTAATTATCTCTCATCATACCCCTTGCAAAAGAAAAAACAATTGTTGAAATCCAAAGAAAAAAATGACAAGGAAATAGACAATTAATTTTATTCACAATAGATTGGCGTAATCAAGTAAATCTTATGAAAGGAACGCAAAATATGACAAAAAAATGACTTTTTAGAAAATAATAATAATAATAATAATAATAATAATAATAATAATAATATCAATTTTTCATGATTAGATAGAGATCTAAAAATGTGAAAATTGATATTATAAATTATAATGCTCAGTTTTTACGAGTTTAAATTATAACAACAGTACTTGTACTTTATTCATTGGTTAATTGGTTTCCTCTTAACTTCATTTTATTTTAGTTGTAAAATTGAATTTTACACAGCCATGAGTTTTTTCGAAAATTGCATTTTTCATATGACCTTACTTTTTTGTTTCTTTCTGTTTTTTCACCACAATTCTCCATAAAAATATTATTATTTAAAGTATGACGGACAATAAAGAAAGCACGATTTTAATATATTCAATTTTGGTTATATTATTAATTTAGACAATCTATGTATTTAATAATTCAATTTAATTTATTATTATTAAATATCTTATAGTTTAGCCCTCATTTTTTTTTCAAATATTGATGTAACAATCATTTCCATCCAATTGCAAAATTAACGTTAATTACTTGTATAAATAATAAAATAAAAATGACACATGCTTTTTGCAATTTTAAACCGTGTTAACGAAGAGAATAACATTTTTAAGATTAAGAAAATCACTTAAATATTTATAGTAAGAGAATAAAAATTAATTAATTAATTAATTAATCATATAAAAGATCTTCCAGAAATATTTGTATTAATTATATCATTTATTAAATATAAAAAAAATGAAAAAAAAAACAGCAATTTGGACTTAATATTTTCATTAATTGTTAAGAAAAACTAATAAAAAAAACATAGCAGTATTCCAATCGAATAATTCACTCAGGCACAACTAAGCAAACTAGACAAATAATAATTTTGGGACATATTAAAGGGAATGGTATTAAAATGTGTAAAAAAAAACATAGTAAATGTAGACACTAAAAATGAAACATATGTATTAAAGGCATACCCCAAATAAATGTGTTGGTCACATGATGCATGTGATTTGGTGATAAATTATTCGATAGGGTTATCAGAACCTTTAGTTACTATCCAAAAATCATTAATTGATAGTAATTAAGATGAAAACATAGCTGAAAACTTTTTTCATATTTCCAAACTGGGTTTTTTCATCAAGAAAAAAGGAAAATGATGGGTTTTTAATTTTGGTATTAGGTAATTAAAAATAAGTTATTTAGTTTAATAAAAATTTGTCAAAATAAGTGAATTTTAAAATGACAGTTCAATAATCAGGTAAATATATAAATTAGATTTATAAATATTGAGAAATGATTTCCCTGAGCTTAATGTAACTCTAAATAAACCCTAATTACTCATTTATATTTTTTCATCATGTAAATTAGTAAAAAAAAATGCCACCAGAACAGTATTTTACATAAAATTAGAAAAAATTATTATTCTAGTGATACAAATTATGCTTCATTCGTGAAGTTAACGTAAGTGACGACCATGTTTCCACACTAATTAAAAGGTGGTATTTACGTAAGAGGAAATCATTGTAGTACACTTTTTGTACCTTGCTTTTGGAGTGTAAGATTCATAAATATAGAAATAAAAGAAAAAAAAGTAGTTAAAAGGAAAATGACATATAAAATAAAAATTAAACAAATTATGAACACATAGATATAGCTACTTAAGGGGTGGGAAATATATTAATGTAGTGCTCTATTTACTTTATCTTAAAATAATTTCAATTTTAACTTCTCTGAAATTTTAAAATTAATTGAGTTTTTCAGTTTTTAATGAAATATTGATTTTTAAATTTTAAAATATATTATTTTATATAAACATATTTATTTTATTTATGATAAAAGAGTAAATAAGAGTAATAATCTGTTTAAAAATATTTACTATAATAAATTAATCAATATTTATATGTGTATAATAATGTATTTATCAGGAGAATTATAATATTTTAATAAGTGATATATTTATTATTAATTTGAAATTTCATAAAAAAAATCTTAGATAAAAGTTATTTTAGAATGAAGAGAGACAATGGATTAATAATAATGTAAATTAATATATTCGATTTAAAATCTCAAATTTATATATACGAACGAATATTTAATAAAAATTAAATATATAAAAAAGACCGATTTTTCACATTAATATAATAAATTAATGTATGAATATTTTGAAAGAGATATTTATATTTATTATCCACGTGACTAAAATTATTTAAAAAAAATATGTAAAATATATTTTTCTTTTAAAATAACTTTTAATATAAAAATTGAAATGTTGAAAATTTAGATTCTAGTTTTTAGATACCTTAGACAAAAAAATGGTTAAATAAAAAAATGTTTTTTTAATTTTCATATTACACTTTCTATTTTATTGATTTAAAATTTGGTAAAAAAACATAAAATCGAAAATGAGGACTTCTCTTCTTTACCATTTCGTCGTCACATATAATGATAGTACGTGTGCATTGTCTTTTCTCCCTCTTCTCACTCCACTCGTCTGAACTCTCAAACTTTCAGTTACCATAATAAATAATAATCACGAATAAATGAGAAACTTGAAGAAAGTCTCAACCTTTCTCTTTCTCTCTCGTTGGGTCTGGGGTAGGTCAAGAAAGAGAAGGTTAGTGTCCATTCTGCATTGCATTGCTGTGCTGTCAATTTTATTCTTTAATCATTTTTTTTGTTTCTTCTTTCTTATTTTATCTGTAAAACCAAAAAAATTAAGTCACTTTCTCCTACCCTTTTCTCTTTTTATGAAGCTTCTGTTTTCTGTACCTTGCTGTTTCTGCTGCTAGCATTCCCTTTAGCTTAAAAAATGCTCCTCAATTTCATCCAAATTCCCTTGCTTTATGGGCTCTCAGTGTGCTCTATGCTCTTCCCAATGAAACCCACCTCCAGATTTTGATATGAATGCTCTAATTCTATCAAGTTGCTAGTTACAAAAACGCGAGAATCTGAAGCTGATGCACCCACCAACTTCAATTTCTGCCTCAGCAAATGCTTCTTCATTTTCTGTTTCATTTCTCTGAATTGGCGAATTTGAGACTAACGTATGCTTCTGAACTCTCCCATGCTTCCTTTCAGGTGATTGTTCACTTAAAAGCCTGTCCTTCTCCTCTCTCTCTCTCCCTCTCTCAAAATCCAGTGGCACAGTGGTGCTCCTAATTTAGCATGCAGATCTGGGTTCTTTTGAGTTTTTTTTTTTCCCTTCTCAACATTGGGGAGTGGAATGTGCTACAAAGCAGTTTTTGGTTTCTTCTTGATGATAATTGTAATGTTTGGAACACTTGATTTTGGTTTTTGTTTCGGATCTGAAGGTACTCGAGGAGAGTTTTTTTTTTTTTTTTTTTTTTAGTTTTCATATTATTTAAATTTAGTGGTTGAACCACTTTGACCGTTTATGATCTTGGTAATTTCCGTCACAATCCATCAAATGGAGTGCGCTTTTGAAGAAAAAATCAGTTCTTTCTGCAGTTAGTTGTTTCAAAATTCAAGTAATTCCTCTTATGTGTTTCAGAGAATAAAGGGCAGAAATGTTAGTTGTAGTTATCAAACAGTTCACAAAATTACCACAGAGCTAAAAAAGTCTACTCTTATCTTCTAAGAGCCAAAGACTTAATTTTACAGTAAATGTTGTCCTTTCCTTACTTTTCTTTTTCTGCCAAAATCTTGGGAAATTCTTTTTGTTTTTCATGAATCATATTCTTCTTATAGCAGCAGAAAAAAACCATTCTCTTTCTAACTTGATCTTTCTTTGTATTGTCCAGTACAATCTTATGCCTGTAAAATTACGAGGGATTGGTTATTTAGATAAACCAAACATTTTTACACCTTATCTTGCCAAAGCTTTCTTAACATATTGTCTTCACTGCAATTTATTCTCTGTAGTTGCTCTATAATTTGGGTTGGAGATGCTTAAAGTGACTATTTTGACTGTATTTCGTACCTCTTTGGAATACTTGTAATTTGATATGTTTTCCACTCCTGCGATTGAAAATTATCCAAACGATGCGAGTATTTTTGTTCAATGTCATAGTTCCCCCCCCTCTTCTGTCTGTTGCTCTTCTCCTAAGATATTGTAAATAGGGATTGTGACTCTTGGAAATGACAAGATCCAAGTTACCAAGATTAAGTTACTTTTGTTCTTCTAGTGTAAATGAAGCTAAAGTGAAGCATGCTTATACCTTTTCAGTACGCTTCTGCTATTTTTGGGGATTTAATTGTTTAGAGAAGACACTTAAAGATTCAATGTGTTAATCTCTTCGAAATAAACTTTCTTTTGATCTGTATTTAATGGTCTGCTGGTGTAGTGTATCTCTTGATACATGTAAAACTTCAGTTTCATTTTTATGTTCTTTTATTCATGGAAAGTGTGTCCCCCACTGTTTCTCTTGATGCTGAAGATCTAACAAGCAAAATGAGACAGCAAAAGTTTACCCCTGGCTTGCAATTGTTTAACTGTTTGGTGATTATCAATCAAGATGCTTCCTTTTTATTAATCGTGAACTGATCTATTTCAATTTTTGGTTTCTGAAATGTTGTCATTACAATTCTCATACCTAGGTTTGTTGTATATTGCTGATTTCATCAGGCTACTGGTTTCTAACTTTGATTTATGGTTGGTTATGGTACTAATACAGGAAAATATGAAGGCTGGCAAAGTTTACTCCGAATTTAATTGCCAATATATTATTCCTTGCAGAAAACAACTCTCCATGAAGTTCGATTCTACTTCAGTGGCCTTTTTCCTTTTTTTCATAGTTATTCTTTTTCCTTTGGCTATTGCTGATCTAAGTTCAGATAAGCAAGCCCTTCTGGATTTTGCTAATGCTCTTCCCCACCGGAGAAACCTTATGTGGAATCCATCCACCTCAGTCTGTACATCTTGGGTAGGCATCACTTGCAATGAAAATCGAACTCGTGTTGTTAATGTCCGGCTCCCTGGAGTTGGTCTAGTTGGCACCATCCCATCCAATACACTAGGCAAGCTTGATGCTGTGAAAATTATTAGCCTTCGTTCCAACCTACTCAGTGGAAATCTCCCTTCTGACATTGCTTCTCTTCCTTCTCTTCAGTATCTCTACCTCCAGCATAATAACCTTTCTGGTGATATACCTGCCTCATTGTCTCCCCATTTTGTTGTACTTGATTTGTCATATAATTCTTTCTCTGGTGGCATTCCGAGGACATTTCAAAATTTGTCATACTTAACTAGTTTGAATCTCCAGAACAACTCTCTATCTGGACAGATACCTAATCTCAATGTCACTCAGCTCAGGCTTTTGAATTTAAGCTACAACCATTTTAATGGTTCTATTCCTAAAGCTCTTCAGATTTTTCCAAATTCTTCCTTTGAAGGAAACTCACTTTTATGCGGACCCCCTCTAAAGCCATGCTCTGTGGTTCCTCCTACACCTTCTCCTGCTTCGACTCCAACTCCATCATCAACTCCAGGGAGACGAAACTCAAAAATCAAGTTGAGTAAAATAGCTATCATTGCAATTGCTGTTGGAGGAGCTGTGGTGCTATTCTTCATAGCTCTTGTTATTGTTATTTGCTGTATAAAGAAGGAAGATGGCAGAGGCTCCAATGTAACTAAAGGGAAGGGTTCTAGTGGTGGTAGGGGTGAGAAGCCAAAAGAAGAGTTTGGAAGTGGGGTTCAAGAACCTGAGAAGAACAAGTTGGTTTTCTTTGAGGGAAGTTCTTACAATTTTGATCTTGAAGATTTGCTGAGAGCTTCAGCTGAAGTCCTGGGAAAGGGTAGTTATGGTACTGCATATAAGGCCATCCTGGAGGAGTCAATGACTGTTGTGGTGAAAAGATTGAAAGAAGTTGTGGTAGGGAAGAAGGACTTTGAACAGCAGATGGACGGTATGGGAAGGGTTGGACAACACACAAATGTTGTCCCACTGCGTGCTTATTATTATTCAAAAGATGAAAAGCTTTTGGTGTATGACTATATCCCGGGTGGCAACCTACACACACTCTTGCATGGTATGCATATCTATACCTTAGTTTCTATCAAATCTTCTAAAATTACACGTTTTTTTCTCATTGTTGCCAGAAAACATGTTTTTTGTTATCCCTTGTGCAGGATTGTTTTATTTCTTTATAGATTATTCATTCATTTGGATATTTGAAGTCCTTTTGTATATTTTATTTTCTTTCCACAGTTGTAATTGTTCATGTTACTGTACCTACTAGAGCCAGCTAAAGTGCTTCTCTTCACCTTAATTTCATTGGATCTCAATTTCATTACAGGTGGAAGGACAGGTGGAAGAACTCCATTAGATTGGGACTCCCGAGTAAAAATATCCCTTGGAACTGCCAAAGGACTAGCCCACATTCATTCTGTTGGTGGTCCCAAATTCACACATGGAAATATTAAGTCCTCAAATGTCCTCCTCAACCAAGATAATGATGGCTGCATTTCTGATTTTGGCCTCGCCCCCCTTATGAATGTTCCTGCTACCCCTTCTAGAGCTGCTGGTTATCGTGCTCCTGAGGTGATTGAAACTCGTAAACACTCCCATAAATCGGATGTGTATAGCTTCGGTGTCCTCCTTCTTGAGATGCTTACTGGGAAGGCTCCTCTCCAATCTCCTGGACGTGATGATATGGTTGATCTCCCTAGGTGGGTTCAGTCTGTTGTTAGGGAAGAATGGACTGCCGAAGTTTTTGATGTTGAGCTTATGAGGTACCAAAACATTGAAGAAGAAATGGTGCAAATGTTGCAAATTGCCATGGCCTGTGTGGCAAAGATGCCAGATATGAGACCTAGTATGGATGAAGTAGTGAGAATGATTGAAGAGATCCGGCAATCTGACTCAGAGAACCGACCATCTTCTGAAGAAAATAAATCCAAGGACTCAAATGTTCAGACTCCATAGGTTAACTGTACCTTTTGCTTAACCAGGAAGTGACAATAAAATTGGTACATAAGAGTGAATTCTTGGCAAGATTTTTCAAGCTGTGGTCAAACCTTTCTGTCCAATTCTTCAATATTTCTCACAGATGTTATTTCTTGAGTTATTTTCTCATGTAGTTAGGTTGCTTTCCATGAATTCTTATGTATTAACATCATGATTCAATTAATGATCTTCATTCAAGCACATTCTGTCCCTTGTCATTGCTGTGGTGCTGTTTTAATACCATTTTCATCTGCTAAATTTTAAAAATATATCATGAACATAGGAGACTAAGTTAAAAAAACTAGTCCTCACAGACTTAATTGATAACCCTTGTTAGGATAGTTGATTTCGATATCTTTCAACAATGTGAAGAATCTTTGAACACTTGCTCCTCTCAATGCAGACTTTCTCTATCACCAGATATAGTTTCACTATCATTTGCTAAGAGAATTTTTATATCGAATGCTCGATGGCATGCCAACGTTGTGGGAAAAAAAAAATAAAAAGGTTATGATGTCACAATACGTGCTACTAGATTGTGTACAAACAATGCCGCCACCGGTCATGTGTAAAATTTCACCGTATATTTTACTAAATCTCCTTTTTTTATATAGAAATATACTATATATTAATAAAATTAATTAAAGAATTAAAATATTTTTTACAGAAAATAATTGAAATAATATGCAATAATAATATGACATTTCACTATTTATTTTACTAAATCTCACTTTTTATTAGAAAAAAATATATTATAATATTAAAATTAATTACAACATAATCTCACTGCAATTAGGCCTTTACCATTCCTACCTCCTTTTTTACCTTTCCTCTCTTCTCTCTATGTTTGTCGGCCAACCTTGATTTACCACATATAGCTTTATGCATTTGTGGTGACAAAATCTTCCAAAAAAACCCATCATACAAATAACTCACCGTCGTTGGACACCGATGTGTCTGTTCCCTTACCAGGGTGGAGAGCAAGACGGTGTTGGCGAAGGATCCGAGGGGCCGATGATCGTACCGGCACACGACCTTCAACATGCCATCTCACCGCCACTCGCGCTCCACCCTCAGTGACATCGATTCCTCCATTGACCACCTTGACAATGGACCTTACCACCCTCGTTGGTTTGCATGTTGTGTATGGTCATGCCTTGTTGTGTTCTTCTTGATCATAGTCTTTCTCTTTCTATGCATCACCTACTTGTCGTTTCTCAAGTCAGGGATGCCAATAGTTTATTTGAGATCCTTCAACGTAACCGAGTTTCAAGTAGATAAAGGGTCAAGAAAGATGAATGCTGTTATAGGGTTAGGGCTACTGTTCTCTAACACGAATGATAGGCTTAAGCTTTTGTATGGACCTCTTTTTGTTGATGTCAGAAGTGAGGATATGGTGTTGTTGGGGAAGAACAATGTTGGTGCCTTCTCTCAAATGCCCTTGAATGACACCAATTTGGAAATTATTACGACGGTGAACAATGTAGATGTTGACGGTTATGCTGCAGATGATTTGAAAGAAGAATTCAACGCCAATGAGATGGTGTTTGATGTATATGCGGGAGGACATATTGGTTTTAAGGTTGGGAAGATGGAGATGAACAATGTTCCATTTCTAGCTTCTTGCCATCAAATCAAGATGATGGATGTGGATTTTGAAAGAAGACCTCCATGTGATATTAAGCTCTTTGCTAGCAGGTAACATCAATTTAACTACATGTGTATGTATGGTTTAAGAATGTTTTTTGTTTTATTTTAAACTATGAAAATGTCATCTTCTTTACTGTTATTTTCTTTTTAAAAAAGTTTGTATAGAAGAATAAATGGTTTTTTTACATGGTATGTGACATATTTTATTAGAGGAATAATTGGGAGAGAAAATAGGCACACAGATTCTTCTAATCCTTGAACTTGTGATTGTGTGATTGATTTTCAATGGTCAAATGAAGAAAATATTGTTGTGTAATTTTGTGATATTATTTGATAGAAATTATAAAAATCTAGAAGCTACTTTATGTTTGTTTACAATCATAAAATCTCTTTTTAAAACATACAAGTAGTTGATGTAAAAAAAAATTTCAAAATAGGTTTCTATTCTAATCAAATGTTGTTTTTGGTTTCTAATTATTTTGAAAGCTGAAATAAACACATAATCTAAATAATAATAACATCTAAAAAAAAAGTGATTCTTAAAAAAAATAAATTGTATATAGTGATTCCCATGATCTATATTTCTTTGTAGATTGCAAGTGAATGATGCATTGGTTTGGTTTGCAGTAATGCAAAATATACTGAAATTATACTACTACAAATAAAGCCTTCAACGTCGGTCTCTGGAAGGCTTTCAACGTCGATTCAACAATCGACGTTGTATCGAGCGACGTTGAAAGTCAGTAACTTTCAACGTCGGTTTATTAGAACCGACGTTGAAAGTATAATTTTTTAAATTAATAATTTTTATTTATTTACAACCCCTTTATCCCCTTTATTTATTTAGAAGTCTCCTCTCTCTTTATATTATATTTTTATTAGGTCCTCCATCTCTTTATATTATATTTTTTAGAAGTTTATTAATTTTTTAAGGGAATTGTCATTGGCGAGGATTCGGATCCAAGTACTTTAGAGTTGGAGGTCGATACTCCAACCACTAAACTACTGGAATTTTTTGATAATAACTTACAAATAAATTATATTTATATACAAATAAATATATATCCGTGTAAATATATAAATATATAAATACAAATATATTTATATATTTTGATATATTTATATAGTTATATATTTATAGGTTGAATGTGAGGGTACTCGAAAGTGAAAGTGTGTGTCGAGTAGGTTTTTAAAATTTGATGCTAAATTTGTGAGCAGGTATCTTTATATGAGTTTGTAATTTAATGACATAATATAATCTTTATAATTTTATTTATATAATAATATAAAATAAATTTGGGAAACGCGTTATTCGCTCTCAAGCGAAAAATACCAATTTTCGCTCAAGCGAGACTTGAGTGAGTGAATTTCCGTGAGCTTTAACATATTTTCACTCAAGCGAGAGTCAATCACACTTTCACCCTCGGTCAAAAAATACCAATATAATTTATTTGTAAGTTATTATCAAAAAATTGTAGTAGTTTAGTGGTTGGGATATTAACTTACAACCCTAAAATACTGGGTTCAAATGCTTGTCGATGACAATTCATTAACTTAAGTGAATTTTTGGTTGAAAAAAAAATAAAAATACTTTCCAGAAAATATATACAAATAAATATATATTTACATGGATATATATTTATTTGTATATAAATATAATTTATTTGTAAGTTATTATCGGGAAATTATAATAGTTTAGTGGTTAGAGTATTAGTTTCCAATTCTAAAATCCCGAGTTTGAATCCTAGCGATGACAATTTTCAAATTTAATTGAATTTTTGGGTGAAAAAAAAAAACGACTTTCCACGCTCGGTTCATATGGGAACCAACGTGGAAAGTGTCAATAACTAAAAAAAATAAAAAAAGACTTTCAACGTCGGTTCATATGGGAATCGACGTAAAAGTACTTTTTACGTCGGTTGACTAAGAACCGATGTAGAATGTGTTTAATATTCAACTTTCAACGTCGTCTCAGCTATAACCGACGTTAAATGACGACGTAGAAAGTATATTTTGTAGTAGTGTTATAGTTAAACACGAAATTTCTTGATTCTTTGGAAACAATAGAATTGTTGACGTGTGTACAATTTTGGTGCAGGCCAAGAAATTGAAGAAAGCAATTACAAACAAGTTTAGCTAATGACATCGTTCATGGGAGAACAAGTCATTTACTCATAGGGATAAGAAAGTTTCAGCAAATATATAGCAACTTTACTCACAAGTTATTAGAGTCATCATGATGAACATCATTTGAATTTTTTCATTCTAGATAAAATTTGTCCTTGTTCAATGTGGACGAAAACTAACAAAAATTAACAAAAAGAGATTTTGGGTAGCACAATTGATGCCCTTTTATTAAGACCAACTGCAGAGTTCCCTAACCCACAAAACGTGATTACCCCAGAATCGTATAATTATCATTAAAAGTGTAAGATACAACAATAAATTGAACTGGAAATGAGTTACATCATATACGCTATTGATGCAAAAATAACCAAATGCAAAATAAAACTAACACAATAAAGTAATGGGTAAAACTTATCTTGTGTAACGATAGTTTATTTCAGAAAATAAAAAATGTGAAAAAGATAATAAAAATTAAAATTATTTGAATTAAAAAAAGTAAAAAGCCAAACAAATTATTTATTTTTCATAATTTTCAATTATTTATTATGATAATAATAATAAATATATTAATTAATTTTTTGAATTATTATACCTATAAATTTTTATATTTTAAGAAATATTTTTATAATTTTTCATGAAGTTGTGTAAGAAATAATTTTTCTATAAAATAAATAAAAAATTTAAAAAATAACTAATATTTTAATAATATATTATTACATTTAAATATAATAAATTTATGTATTTTAATATAAAAAATTATAAATTGGAGACAAAATTTTATTTGTTCTTTTCTACAAAAATGTTAAAAAATATTATCTAATGATATAAAGTCATGCAAGAAAAGAGATAAAATCCTTACATGATAATCACACATTTGCGTTGGTGAAATTGTCTTAAGGCAAAAAAACATTTAAAAATAAATGGGTGATCAAACTGAAATAAGGATATAATAACTCACAACCAAGATATAAATGAAAAGATTTAATCAAAAGAAATGTATTCATTTTAAAGAAATATTTTCAATTAGAATTGTACTTAGTTTGACAACAAGTTTAAATTTACTAGTTAAATAACCTGACGTGAAAATAACCTTCTTTCATGATGACTTGGAGGAAGAAATTTATATGAAGTAATATAAAGGTTTCACACTCAAAGGTAAAGAGAAACTTGTTTGCAGACTAGGAAAAAACTTGTATGGATTCAAACAAATTCTAAGGCAATGGTATAGGAAGCTTCATTCCTTTATGATGAATTACGGGTATGATAAAACCTCTTTTGGTAATTTTGTTTTTGTTAAAAAAATTTATGATGAAAGATTTATTATTTTCTTGCTTTATGTTAATGGCATGTTGATTATTGATTATGATATGAGAGAGATTCAAAGCCTTAAAGAGAATTGAACAAGTTCTTTATAAAGCTTGGGTTCTGTAAAACAAATCCTTGACATGAAAATTGTTTGTGCAGGAAAAATAGAAATTACAACTATTACAACAAAAATATAATGAGAAGGTATTAGAGTGATTTAATATGGACAATTTTAAATATGCCAACACTCCACTTGCATGTCATTTTAAGTTAAGCTCAAAGTAATGTACTATAAATGAGAAAGAGAAAGAAAAAATACAGAAAATCTCACATTGATCTACAATTGACAGTTTAATGTATGTTATAGTGTGTACAATTGTTTATGTTAGAGAGTGTTTATGCTTTGGAAGTGGTAAGCTTGTGTTAAATGATTACATAAATGCAAATATGACTAGTGATGTAAAATCGAGGAAGTCTACTTTTGAATATATGATGACTTTTACAGAGAGAGAGAGAGAGAGAAAATAATGTTATGGTAGTCCAAATTACATTACAAAATTGTGTTGCTCTATCTTCTACATAGGCATAATATATTGTTATTATGTTACCGAAGCTGCAAAAGAACTCTTTTCGATGAAAAAAATTCTGAATTAGGACTTTCACAAGAAAAATATGTTTTGTATTATAATAGTCAAAGTGCAATCTATCTAGCAACAACTCAACTTTTTAGCTAAGGTCAAACCATATTGAGGTTCGATATCATTGGGCTCGTGATACATTAGAGAAGATTCATACAAATGAAAATGATTTAGATATGATGACATCGAAAATTGTCATTTGCAAGAAAAAAACAAGTTTGGTTAAATATAACCCTAATTAATTGGTGAGGGGGAGATTTGTCAAATATGTCACTAATTTATTGAGTCTATACTCATTAAGTTAAAAAAAAAATAAGAATATTTTTCTTTTTGAGCTACTGACTCATCATAGAATTATCTTTATTTGTACCTGAGTCCTTTAGGTTGTTGAGAAAATAAAAGATAAAGAATAGAAAAGAGAGTCTCTCGTAAGGTATAGAAAGGAGTCACCACGATAATAAAAGAAGAACATATTATTCAAAGTAACTCTGTACAAAGAAGTTAGCTTGAAGAGGAAGTTATGTTATTCTCATTACATATATATATATATATATATATATATATATATATATATATATATATATATATATATATATATATATATATATATTTGTCTTGATAGAAGGTTATCTATTATCTATCTTATTGATTTTGATGACTTTAAGAGAAATTGTATTAGACCTATTAATTATTATTAGTAAAACATTTTGTCATATTAGTTCACGTGAATTTTTCCTTCCTATGAGATGTTTTCTCATATTAAAATTTAGTATATTATTAATTTTTATTTTTATTTTTTAATGTACATTATCATATATATATATATATATATATATATATATATATATATATATATATATATATATATATATATATATATATTTCTTAATATTTTGGAAGTCAACTATCACTCCTACAAGAAAAAAATATCCTATTTTTTGTGATTTTTTCTCCACTTCCTGTAATTTTTCGGTTAATTCATATAACTCACAAAATACTGATATTTTTATGCAATAATTACAAACTATATTGTTTAAATGGATTAAAACGAGTTAATTATTTAAAAGTTTTCATCATATATATTTTTTAATAAAATATATTTTTAATTCCTCTAAAATAATTTAACTTTTTAAATTTGTTATCCTAGTCTCTCTAATCCAAAAATATTTATTTTTTTATCCTCAAATATTTATAATTAAATAGATAATAATTATAAAGTAATAAAAAATATGTTTTAGACATAAATTTAGAGTATTTTTAAATGACAAATATTAAGTAAAGGTAGTTGTAAAAAAAATAAAAATAACTTTTTTATTGAAATACATACAAAAATTGTGCGTGCTTTTTTGTTATAATTGAATATGTTTCTAAATGAATTTCATATTTTAATTTATTAACTAATGTTTTTAGACTACTTCTTAGAAGGGTGAAAATAGGAAAGAAAAAAAAATATAAGATAGAAATTGGAAAAATTAAAGAAATTATCCATTATTTTTGTTCTACACCTACCTTTCACACGTAGGACGTTGTTCCTACGCAAACATAGAATACGAACACACACGGAATCTTCTAGAACCCAACCCAATGTACCTTCTCTATATCCCTTACCCATCACTTCCACCTTCTCCCCTTCATTTCTTCCTCAGTTGATCAATATCCTTTCATTTTCAACCCTATCTCTTCTTTTGGGTCTCTCCATTTCCAAGTTTCAGTTATGGCATCCAAACGCATCGTCAAGGAGCTCAAGGATTTGCAGAAGGACCCTCCTACGTCCTGCAGTGCAGGTGAGAACCCTTTTCTCTTTCATCATTCACCATGATTTTAACGCTTCGATTCCACCTTCAATTATTCAACCCTTTATGTTGTTTTCTCCACATGCATCGCCTGACCTGTTTGAGAATCGTAAAATCGTCATTTGTTTCGAACAATTCGTATTTTGAGTTTGGTGTTTTGCCCCCTTTTTTTTCTTTTTTTCGTTCACGTTTTTGCAATGATTTACAAGAAAAAACCAAAATCGTTGTTTTCTGTTGTACGGTATAGTTCTTCTGTCTGCGTTTTTTTTTAGTTGTCAGTGATTTTTAAGAATTTATTATCCAATATGGCTTCGGGATGATTAGGGGCTAGGTGTCAAATTGTTGTTGGCGTCGTGTCGCGGTTGTTGATTTTGCGGAAAATTGTAGACAAAAGTGTTAGGATGGCTGTAGGATAGCGTAGGGTTTGTAGAGGAAAAAGACAGAAAAGGTATATAAGAATCTAACTCTAACAGATATTTACTTCTTTTAAAAAGTGAATTTAAGTGGAGCTCAACCATACAAAATTGACTTGTAGGTTGAGTTGTGCATCCACTTATCTATTTTTGTTATTTTTCTAGACTATATGGGATTTTCAACAACTTGAATAATGTTCCTACCATTCAATCAGTAAATGCAGCTTAATTAAGCTGTTCAATTAGGGGGTGGAAATTGGCTGGGTTGGGCCAATCTTTGGTAAGCCTTGACCTGGCTTTAGTTAAAAACACAAATAAAAGAGCCTAGTCTGGCTTGAGTCCGAGTAGGCTAGGTCATAGGTCTCTGTTGGATGTTTTGACCTATTTTCACCTCTATGTCTAGAACATCTGATGCAGACATGTGAATGACTCTGATTTTAGGGAAGACAACAGAAATACTAACTTAATTTAACGGAACATTCGATAAAGTCTTATCATTTCGAGGGTTTCTAGTGTGTGCGTTTGGACCTTCTTGAAGTGATAGGTTCTTCTTTGAGGGGGAATGGGCTCGAAGCCCCACTAACAAGGTGACGCCAACTTGTGGTTGGGGACTTTTCCTACAACCTTTATTAGGAGTTTACGTGAGCCTTCGGGTTTTCCTACTACTGAAGTTGCTGGTTTATGAAGATAGTTATGTGATATTTTTCTTTTGTTAACTTGGTAAGTTGTTGTCTGTTTATATCAGGTCCCGTGGCTGAGGATATGTTTCACTGGCAGGCAACAATCATGGGACCTCCTGATAGTCCGTATACTGGTGGTGTATTCCTCGTTTCAATTCATTTTCCTCCTGACTATCCATTCAAACCACCAAAGGCAATATTTTATCCTAATTTGTTTCTTACATTAATTCTTACTATAGATGTTCATCTGTCGTTGTAAATATGTTTTGATTTGTTCCATGTATGTTCATATTACTTGGAAATAAGTTTGCACCACCATCCCTTGTACTATTTGAATTGATGTTTCATCTTTATTTATCATTCTTTATTATAGAAAATTTATTTTGTGTATAACAAGATTGTTTAGAGTGCAAACCAAATATTTTTTGTTGGTCTGCCTCTTCCGAGCTACCTAATTTCTTTATAACTTTTAATCACTACCTGAACTATTGCCCGGTTGCCTGGATTGTACTTTTCAGAACAGTTGATTTACTGAGTGAGAGGATTTGTTTCTGACTGTATTATGGATCAGTTCTTTGTTATACTAATCTACCCATCTTTTCTAATTCAGCACCTTGTCAATATTAGTTTTCTGCAATTGCTGCAGGTGCTGTTATTCTTTATTGTGGCAGTGGGTGCAATTTTATATTAAGTACGAATATATGTTAATCTATGACGATTAAATGATTTTATAATCTGGTTGTTATCTAAATTCAACAATATTGAGTTGATGAAAATTGAAAATTTTTTAATCATTGTAATATATTTGACATGATGGCTCTGTGGCTTTGCCTCTCTGACTGTAGAAAACTCAATGGGTTAATGATTTGACTGTTGTTTAAGTAGGTCATTTGTCATCATGGTTCATACAAGTGTGGAATCTCTTGTTGGAATTTAGTGGCCCTTTCTCTTTCTTTTGTATGTTTTACTATTATTAGTATAGCTCCTTTAATAAGCATGCATTATCATTATAAAAGTTTTTACACTATCAACTAATCAGAAGAAATCATCCTTGATATGACTTTTAAAGTAGTTATTTTACAAGTTACAAGTTTGCGATACATTGCCTTTTTTATCTATGGTAAAAACCCTCACCACTCTCAGGGCATATATTATTTATTCTTATTTTGTTGGGGTGGGGTGGGAGGAAGCGAACAGGCCCAAGGTGGTGCCTCAAGCTATCTGAGGTGCAAAGCCACAAATATGCCTTGCCCCAATGGCTCAATGATCAAGGGGGCTAAGGTCATGGGTATTAGTAACAGTATTGTACAGTGGTTGGTACCCATAAATTCTCCTTCTATGAACACTAGTGCCTCCTAGCCATACGTGCAAATTGCCTTCATAAGAAATATGATGATTCTCAGTAGATATTATTTATGCATCTTCCGTTTGTGGCCTTTACTCTTATTGCACATTTGAAGTTTTGAAATGCTGAGTTTATCATCTTTAAGTACTGCAGGTTGCATTTAGGACTAAGGTATTCCACCCAAACATCAACAGTAATGGAAGTATATGCCTTGACATTCTAAAAGAACAATGGAGCCCGGCCCTAACCATTTCTAAGGTTTGATATTACTTGTGCTTCTTGATATTTAATGATTTGCACAAGGTTACAGCATTTGTCACTTACTATTCATATCTGGCTGTATTTTATGTGTCACCATGTCCTTTTAGAAAGATTTTGACATTCTACATGTAAGAATTGGACTAATATGTATTTCTGGCATATAACTTTTCATGCGAACTATGTTCAGAAATACATACCTTGCTTATAGGCCTGCTTAGATACCATCAAAATATGAAGCTTTTCTCAGTAAAGGAAATCTCAAAAATACTTCTACTTTATATCCAAACAGGCTCTAAATGTTAGGAAATTGGAGCTTATACTCAAAACAAGGATGGGCTTATTTTCAAGCATATATGCATGTGTTCTGTTCTCCTTGTTTAGTTTCTATTGATTTAGACTGTGTGAAACTGTTGTATCATGATGTTTTTTAATGTCTTGAATCTAGCGCCAAATTTGACTTACAGACTTGTTTACTGCCTAGGTTGTAGAGTTATATTGACAACACTGTGAACCTTCGAAATGTAATGTTATTTCTTCCCACATAACATTCTCATTTCACTTTGTACTCTAAGGAGAGAGATAGGAAAGGAGAGAGAGAAGTGTGGAATATGTTGAGTGATGAAATGGATATAAGAGGAAAAAATGTTATGAGAATGTGAAGTGGGATTGTGGATATAACATCACTCAGCTTTTGGAAAATTTTTCATTTATAAGAATTTATTGTAGTAATCTATTTAGTACAGAAGTAGCCTAAAATAGACGTTTATTCATTCTGTTGACTTGAGATATAATTTTCAAGTCACCTTAATGAGATGATCATATGATTCATAGAAATTTAACTTCTTGAATGGACCTGCATATGGAATGATGATGTCAACCTTATGTGTTATACTGTGATGGTGCTGTTTCAAAACTTGAAAAAACTGACTTCCACTATTTTAGGTCCTTTTGTCTATCTGCTCACTGTTGACGGATCCCAACCCTGATGACCCACTTGTCCCTGAAATTGCACACATGTACAAGTCTGATAGGGCTAAGTATGAAGCCACTGCTCGCAGCTGGACACAGAAATATGCCATGGGATGATTATGCTCCTCCTTTAGCTGTTCAATGTGGCTGGTCAATCATGGTTTATGAAGAAACAAAAGATACTTTTCAAGAAATATTGTCTTTTCTTGTCAGTGGAGCTCATCCATGGTAAGTGAATCGATTGTCACTTGTGAATATTTTGGAAGACATTGGTCATGGATGAAATTGTATTATAATGTCGCACAAACTTTCTGCGTGGAAGACATGCTATTCTAAATGAGTGGTAAGTAAAGAAATTATAGTTATGAACATGTAGCTGCCTATTGACGCTGAACTTTATTATTTGTTTTGGGTAGAAAAAAAAAATATCAAGTGGGGTTATAGAATCATCAGATCGGCATAATAGGCTTATTGTATTTTGTTTTTCATTCTTGTCACTTGTGCCTAAAACTTATTTCCTGAAATCATAAACACTTGTCCATTCAAACCTCACCGAATTCAAGTTGTGAATGAGGACAAAATATATATTTTTCCTGAAGAACGGTTGAGATTTTGATAGTACCCCCTAATTCATTATGCGATTCAACATTGTCTGACAAAAGTTAGTCATAATTTTGCGGAAGAAAAGAATAATGTCCTTTTGGAGAGTAAAAGCTCACTGTCATGATTCTCGACACTGGACGTGTTTTATGCGTGCTGCAAACTTGAAACTGAAAGGAATGGGCAGATAAACAAAAAGGATCCCTTGCAGAAATGAAAATACTCCTATTTTTGTTCCAAAATGATGCAAATGAAACGAAAAGATCCTGAAACACTGTTTTGTACGATATTGGGTTTGACTTCAGAATTTAATATGTTTAGTACAGAAACATGTCTGGTGGAAACCACTAGGTATGCAGCACGACAGAGACACGTTCAAGGTGAGGTCATCACAAGTAGCTTCAATTGAAGTCAATGATTGAATAATATAGTAACAGCAGTGGCTGATAAAAGTAACTAAAGGACTAATTAGACTATATATATATAAGGCTAATTAGAAGAGTCATCACTTTGTGAGCAAACAAAGAGTAAAGAAAGGGTGATTCATCTGCAAATGCATTGCAACTTGTTGTCTCAACATACATAATATGACACGTGCTTGACTGGCTAGCATGCTTACTTGCATTGCTTCCTCTTCAAGCCAAAACCTAACCTAATTAAACTTTTTAGGCAATTTCCTCCTCCCTACAATACTCAGACCCTTCTTATGATGTTGACGTTTTCTTTCCATTGTTTAATTCATTCTTAGCTGTTGTTCTTCTGCCTCTTTCCTCATATATTATGATGATGATGATCAAAAGTAATAAAAAAAGTCCCCATTTCTCTTTATCTTTTTGGGAATGTCTCTCGTCAAATTTATAACCTCTATACATCCACCCACATGACAAATTCCCTTATTAGCTTAAAGCAAATTTGAATACAAACTGCTGGTTCGAGCCATGGGATCCAAGTTACCTGCGTAATATCACAGTTTGTGTCTCTACATTACGTGACAATATTTGCCTTGTACTCAAAAGTAAGATTGCACATTGAAAAAAAAAAAAAAACTAAAGAAATGTTGACCTTGTATCTTTTGTTTGCATGATTGATTGATATTCCAACTCACTCAGGTACTGATAATTAAGTATCCCGTTCAGCAGTGTCTTACAGCGAATAGACAAACTCTGCAAAATATTGTACTGAAAAGATATTACTGCCATCTGCAAGGTCATCATGATGGGTTGGATAAGCCCAATGCTCAACGGTATACTATACTTTCCACTTCTCACTCACTCATTTCTACCTTTTCTTTTATCTTTTATTTTTATTCTTTTTATTTTTCCTTTTCTTATTCACGCCATCACCGCTTTAAAAACAAACTATAAAAAGTCACGTCAATTTCCCAGTTTCAAGGTCATTGCTGCTCGTCCTTCGACCACCCATTCTTCTTCTATTCTCCTTATTAGAAAATTCCACCACCATGGAACCCGTCAATTGCGTGGTTTCAGATTCACCAACGTGGAAAGACACCATAGTTCTTTCTTTGCAAATCGCTTTCCCACTCTTTTAGTGTACACCCCCATTTTCCTAAATCAAATTTCAATTCCTTATAGTTCTATAGTACACATTCAAGAAACATGGGTATATAATTGAAATATGAACTATTAAGCACGTTTTGAATAATTATTCGCTCCTATAATTGAAGGAACAAAAAATGAGAAAGGTATCAAAAACGCTTTAGATAATAAAGTGAGATTATGGTTAAGAGAAATAGGAGAAGACGTCAAGAGATTTTGGTGGGGGAAGGATTTTTGTGTTGCCGACAGCGACATGTACACATAAACACACACACAATAGTGAGTCATGACCTCCCCACTCACATACACACTCCAATTTCCCTCTAATCTTCTCTCTCTCCTTCAATTCGTTACCCAAATCAAATCCCCACTTCACGAGAAAAATATTTGCTTCATCCTCCAATGGGGACACACCCCGTGCTGCTCCATAAATACCCTTTAATCCTACCTCTCTTACCTTGCTTTCTTCTCTCCACACTCTTCTACTCTTTCCCGCCAACCTCACTCACTAACAACATTTTTTCTCTCTCTATCTCTATCTCTATCTCTTCCTTACCCTTTGGAATAACCACCCAAAACCCCTCCATCTTCAACCCCTTGCTACAAAATCTCTACCGTCTTTCTTATTTTTCTTCATCAACCACCTCTCTCTTTCCTTTTTCCCTCTTCCTTCATGCACCGAAATCCACCACCTGTTCCATTTCTTCATTCTCTTTGTTAAGATGAGTGAGACAAACCAACCTTTCATCTCCGTTCAACCAACCATGAAGCTCCACCACCCCTTTAACCCACCTACCCCAAGCTCAAATTTTGACACCAGCCCACCATGCAAAACCGCCAAAAAACTTCAACCACCGCACAAGAAGCTCCTCCGAGTCATCCTCACCGACCACGACGCCACCGACTCTGACTCCTCCGGCGACGATGAGGGCCCAAATATCCCTCCAAGACATAAAAAAGTGAAAAGAGAAATCACCCACATCACCATAAACCTTCCCTTTATAGCCCCAACACCAACGATTCCAACGGTAACTCCTTCTCCGTCTTTTCCCACTGACCCGACCCGTTTAACCCGGGCCCTTAAACAACCCGTCGTTCCTCGCCGCCGGAGCAAGTTTCGCGGCGTCCGACAGAGGCCCTGGGGGCGGTGGACCGCCGAAATTCGTGACCCGACCCGGAGAAAACGGGTGTGGCTCGGCACCTTCGACACCGCGGAGGAAGCCGCTGCTGTGTACGATGAGGCCGCAGTGAAGCTCAAGGGCCCCAACGCTGTCACCAACTTTCCCCTCGCCACAGCCGGAAAAACAGAACTCCACGTTTCACCTCCGGAGGCGGCCTCCTCCGGAGACGGTTTCGCGTCGCCGACGTCTGTCCTCGCCTATTGCGACGGAGACTCAACGCCGTTCGACGGCTTCCGATACGGCGAGGTCGATGCGTTTGGTTTTGACATCGACGCACCGTTTGGTTTGACAGACGTTAACTTGGGCGTGCTGAGTCAGCGCTTCGCGAAGGAAGAGTTCGGCGAGTTTGACCCGGACGAGTTCCTGACGTGGCCGAATTAAGGGCCATGTTCGTCATTTCGTGAAAAGTCCGGGACTGTTTAGTAATTCTACTAAGTTTTTTTGTCGCATTCGGTTTTGTGTTCGTGGAATTCCGAGACTACCCTCGTGACTGAAAGTTTTTGTGCAGCTTAGAAGAGTGTAGAGTTCTATCTAGATCTTTAGTTAAGTAGAGAATTTTGTCCTTAGCTAATTAATTTCAATTTCAATGTTATAAAAAAAAATGAAAAGTAAATGAATATGATTAAAAGAGTATTGTAGTTTGCTATCTATATATATATAAAGTAGAATGTTATTTTATGATTATTATATTGCTAACATGCATGATTAAATTTTTGTCATTCTAACTAATGATTACCTTTTTGTTTGGTAGATTTTGGTCCTATGATTGGTCTTTTGAGATTCTGTAGGTAGTTGGAGGGTACCAGAATGATTTGCCTAATATCACAGTGCATCAGATATTCTGTAAAAAAATAATAATAAGTGGTTTTATTTTATGGGGGATAAAATCATTATTAGAATTTCATGTAACTTCATTTCCGCGAGCATGTTATTTTAGAAGCACAAGTACATTTTCCAATATCTTAATATCATACTAAAAAAATCAGTTTTTTAATTGAACTGACTGAATATTGGGAATGTAGTTGTAATTTGCTTTAAAAAGCATATCCATCAAAATAAAAGGTCATTTAATAAATGAAAATGATTTTAACGGTAAACCATGGTGATATATATCCAGTTAATTATAATTTGAAAGTGTAATAAAGTGATTTTAATTTGGGAGTTGAGAGTAGATAATAATATGGAAGAGTAGGTAGTTATTGTTGGAATGAATGCAAACCCCATTACAATTAGAAGGTATTGTAAGAGTGAGGCAGAAAAACAGTAATAAGGTGGCTTAAATAAATGTTGTTTGATTGGCCAAGATTTAATGCTTCTGGTTCTGGTTTACCATTTCTCACAATTCTAAATCATTTCCCTTCTCCATTTTACAATATCTCCCAAATATCTTTTCTCATCACACCTTTCACTTTCTTTTCTTATAATATATCAATTATCCTATCTTTCTTACTATATTTGTCATTTCTTTTCGCTATACTTTTTCAACTATCGTTACTTCAAATTATGTGATAATTAGATTTTCTTTCATAGTTATATATATCACAACAACAAAATTTATAAATATGGATAAATGGACCAAAAATAATTGTTACACTTACAATGGAAACTTATAAAATTAAAATCGTACAATTGAAATACCTTCATCACCATTACTATTTAATAATTAGATTGTATACGTTTTTTTACACAAAACTATAAGTATTTTTTTTATGGGAAATAATTTCGTTTAAACAAGGTAGAAGTATTGAAAATAGTGAATAATATTATTTTATATTATCAAATAAATTCATCGTAGTTTGTATTCAATTAATTATTATGAAAATTAATAAACTTATTTTTTATGTCAGAAAATAATATATTGAGAAAAATAGTCATAAATGTATTCGTAAAAGATTTATAAAAAGTCGATAAATTATTAGGGTAAGGATGTTGAGAGTGCATGAAATGGTTGATTTGGTGGGTCCCATGGTTGTTCACAAAACAATGTGAGGTGAAATAAAATGTGAGGATTCACCCGCTACCTCACACACATTCATTATCATACATCACCACAACCACCTTCCACTTTTATTCCATTTAATTTTTACTTTTAATTCCAACAATAAATTAATTATTCATTTGTCTCATTGCGAAATTAAAATGTTTTTCATAAATAATTTCAAGATGAGATATTTATGCAGTGGTGAAAACCCAAATACGCATATTTACATTAATGGTGACACATTGTTTAGGTCATTTCAATATTCATATTTGTCTCTTTCTTCCACCTGTTGAATTCATTCTAGACCTAATCACAAACTCACCAAAACCATTTTAAAGTCGTTGCGATTCTTAACCACTAATTAATTTTGAGTTTGGCTAAATCTTTACGTGTAAAATAAAATAAAATCTGAACCGTTTAGTTTTATGTTTATTATAGTTAATGTTAATTAGTATAATGCAATGAGATTCAGAATAAAAATCTAATAGAGAAGTCAAACTCGTTAATTTTTCAAGATTTTTGCTTTTCCTATTTATACACTGTGTTCGCTCTTATGAATAGTTAACCAAATTTATCTAATTACATGGTCAAATTTTCTAAACCTCATACGTAAAAGCCAATTTATCTTACTTTATCCTTTTTCTTTACTTTTCCAAGATTAAGAGCTTTTATACAGTCAAAATATTATTTTAGGATTTTCTCTTTAATGAGAATCATTCTTGATAACGTATTATCTATTTTCTTTATAATAAATATAATTAAAAAATAGATATATAACTGATATAAAAAATAATAAATATAATCTTAAATTTTACAATGCACAAAATTTTATATATTTTTTAAATGAAAGGGAGTGTGTTTTAAGGAAATGTTTTTATAATTTCCTATGCTTTTATTAATGGGAGACCCAAAGAAAAAAAAAAAGGAAATATAGTTGATTTATTTAAATAAGCTTTATTGGGTTCATAGGTAGGGCAATTGGGTGGGCAACGTGAAGGAACAGGCATCATCATCATCATCTAATACCACTCACTAACTTGGTGAGATAAAGAGACTCGTTCACTTCAAAATTAGCAGCCGCAATCCATCCAAACCCCAATAATCATCATTTTATTTATTTACTTTTTCCCCAACCACAAAAATTCTAAACTTACTTATTAGCCTCTTCATCATAACACATGTTTTTGAGTAGCATCATTGTGTCTTCTCTTCTTTCTCATTATAACATACAATTCTTTTATTGAAAACCTAAAATTTGGGGTGTTAACAAAACAAGTGTGATAATGCAAAATAAAGTTTAGCTTCTTCGTTTCAATTATACAAGACATAAACAAAGTTTCGGATATCATATAACATAAATATTTTAACGGTTATTTTTAAAACATATTAAATATTTTTGACAGATTAATAATTATGAAATATTTATAAATAAATAAGTACAAGTATACGATAATATAGTACTACTTTTTTTTCAATTGTAGTTTGAGGTTTCACAAACTAAAAAGGCTATTTGAGGCTTACAAGGAGACAAAGGAGAAAGATAAGGTATAACGACACTTTTTCAAATATTATTCAACCAAACAAAAATAGACATTATTTGAAAGACATAAGACCAATGTGCAACTTTTACTTTTCAGTGTATTTAATGGAATTTTTTTTATTTTGATTCTTATTATATATGGATAAAACTTGTTAGATTAATAACAATTATGATTCTGAAAACATAATTAACTTTTAACCTAATAGGGAGAAAAATATGCAACTTTTTAATTAAAAGAAAAAAAAAACTGAATGCAATTGAAGGGAATAATAAATTTTGAAAGTGCATAAGGCGACAAAGGAAGGAAGGTTCTGCGAAGGTAACTAACAAACCTTTTTTTAATGTCTTCTACATCAAATCAAGTAGGCCAAGTTTATATCGTAAGTCAGACTTTAAACATACTTTCACATAGATTAGCTATATTTAATTAAGAGAAATATATATCAAATTTAGTTCATTTTTTGTTTTATAAAAATTATTTTTAATTATCTATAATTTAGACTTTAATAGACATAGTTTGAGACCTCAAATCATCCTAATTAAGATCCCTCATTGGAATGATTGTGCTTATAAAGTTAAACTGTCATTAAACTTATAACTATTTTAGAACTTTAAACTTCTCAACAAAACCAAAAAAAGGTTTAATTTAATACCACTCTTCACGAGCAAATAATAGTTTCGCTAATAACTTTATTAAATCAATTACCTACAACAACGTGTATCAAAAAATTTGCTTTTGCATAATAAAGTTTAAGCTTTAACCAGAATAACATGATATTAAATGTAAGTTATTTTTTCAATACACAAAATAACTTTCTATTGAAGAATCGAATACCAATTTGTTATGAAAATACAGATATATTTCATCAATTGTTATCCTTCCATAAACATAATTATATACATATACTTAAAAATAAGTATTAACAAGTTATTGATGTGAACTCAGTCTTCACAAAGATTAAAGTTTGTATAATTTTTTTAATGAAAAAAACGTTATTTTGAAGAAAATATCATAAGAAAACATAAAAATAAAACAACTGTTTAACCAAATATATATGATTTGAGAAGTATAACTCTATATATGTCTGATGAATTAGAATTAGATTTGGTATTGGTATTGAATAGAGAGTTTATTTTGGTTTGAACAAGATTGAATGACACAAAACGTTAAAAAGTGCAGTATGAGTTATGTTTAGTAGGAAAGTTGAGGAAAAGTGAATGAATTGTGCGACCACGTGGTGAGAGAAAAGATGAATAGTTTTGGCAACAAAACAAAACAAGTAGATGAAAACAACCAAAATAATGTTTAAAAGACATCTCATAAAACCTAAATCCACAACTCTACCTTCCGAGAAACCTCCCAACATTTTGTTTCCATTTCTGATTAAGAAGACCCTTCACACCAATTTCCGATTTATTCATTTCTGCCCAAAGTTAACATTTACTTCCAACTTCCCTCTAATGGCCCTATAAACTCTGTAATCTATAATTTACAACTCACCATTTTTTTTAATACAATTTTTTTATTTATTAATTCTTTAAACCTTTTTTCTGTTATGTTACGAAGTTAGGAAGATGTTTGGATAGCAATGAACGGTATAGGACAAGAGCAATAATGGCAAGTCTGGCCTAACTTAGGTATTTTTTAGACCATTAAATTGTTCACAAAAATTATTATTTTAATGTATGTTTCATATTATCATAAGTTGTTTAAAATTACATAAAATTATCTTTACAATAAATTTTAATATATAAACAACATCTGTTTAAATAATGTGGTTATTAAACCATTGCTATAATAAGATTTAAAAAAAAATATCATTAGTGAGCAGAAAATGTATTGTAAAGAACAAATTGTAA